CACGGCGTTAACTTTTGTTCCGATTGCCAGTTTGCGCGTGTTTTCACACTTACTGTCATAGTAAGTAGAAACCATGTAAAAATAACAGTAAAATTTTAAAAGACTAATCAATATCAAAAGATTTTGCGAGTGGTTTCTATCGGTACAGACATTTTGCGCTAAACTTGAATTTTAGTTATAAGAAAACAAAGCGTATGTTTATGTACCTCATCCTACCATTTTTAAAATTATATCTTGAGGTTATACTTTCACATTGATAACATAATATCAAATTGATATTTGCAGAAAAAATATTACAAAAACTAGACACTCCAATTATAATTGTACTTCTGAATAAAAATTAATTATTAAAAGTCTAAGAATCTATATGTAATAATATTTTAAACTTAAAATTGTGTATAACACCAAAATTTAAATCCAAAAATCTCCAAAAATAATTTAAAGAAATTATGAAATAAAGTAATTAGTAAATAAAATAAAGGGAAAATTCTTCAAAGAAAATACTGCTATAAAAATTAATTTAATTGGTTTGTAGTTCTTTTGATTTCGTTGCAAGAAAGTAAGACGTCAGGTACAGCCTGCCCAATACCTAAAAAACAAAAATAAAATTTTACTACTGTCCTATCAATTTATCATACATGTTCTATTTTCATCCAATTTGTAAATTCTATTTTATAAATCTACACACACTGTAATTTGCATAGCTTTTTGAACAGCCAAGCTTTAGATGTATTGTGGATTAAATAGGTAACCCCAACTTAATCTTAAACTAATAGAATAATTTATTCTTAAACCAATATAATAACTTAACCTTAACCAATAGAACTACTATATATATCTACATCTTAATTTATTAAAAAAAAGAAATAGCATAACAAAGGAAAGATGCCATTTTATTGATATTTTTTACAGGTAATATTTTCAAAAACTAATATAAATAAAACTAAATTTTGAATATCTTATCTTTTTTATGAAGGTTATATAAAAATTGACATATAATCAAAATGCAAAAGGATTTTCAGAAATAAAATGAAGCCAAAAAATTTGTTGCTTGTACATTCTTTTTGATGTTTGTCAACATAATTTTTTTAATAAAAAGTCATAAAACTGAGCAACCTTGCAAGTCATTACATCTCTGATACCTATTTTGAAATTCACAATACTTGAAGTAATCTTTTTGTGACATACAAATCCTGAGTCCTTTTAATACTCCGCATCCCTACTTTAATCATGGCTTTACTTAGATAACCTTAACACAAACATCAAGGTTTTGAATAAGCTAATACCTAATATCAGATTACTATAACCTCATACAAAGTATATCTGATACCTAACCAGATGTTTATCAACTTTGAAAAACAACCTTACAAATTGTTTTGGTTTTTGAACATGCAACATATAAATGGATATTAATGAATATAAATGAGAGAAACACAGTTTTTTAAGATGTACACCAACATTTGTATAAAAAATTAATAATATAAAACATTTAAATCTGTAAAAATAGAAAACTTGTGAACACTTTAGTTCATTACTTATTTATTGTAACAAATAGCTGTTTGAATATACTAATTATAATTCCTAAATTACTTTTTTGTAGCTGTTTACACATTTTATTCTCAGTAGTACCTGTCTTTGCATTACTAGAGGTCTTTCAATAATAACACTGTTGTAATCAATAATAAACTTGTTTATCAACTTAATAATAAGCTAATAATATGTAACCAAGTAAAATATTTATCCTTCATAAAAATATTTAATGAAGTTACAATACAAGTATACAAAAAAAATGCAGAATAAAATCCAGACAAATTTAAAATTTAATAAACATAACTTTGAAATTCACAAATATGGAGGAAAATAGAAAACAAAACAAAAATATAAAAGTAAAAATAATAACTAATATAAACGATAAAAAGATAAAACTTGGAACTTCGAAAACTTTCAAGCATTTTTTTTTTATCTCAAAGCCTACTTACCTCAGCCAAATAAAATAAAAAGTAATATTCAGTGTGTTTAAATATTCTAATAACACAATAATGTAAAATAAACATAAACTTACTTCATAAAATGTTCTGAATGCATTTCTCGATTAAACATGGACAACACTGATGTGTAGCCTGTCACACGTTGCAAGTTAAATATTTGTAAACATTTTTTTTATACTGTTTTATATATATATATATATATATATATATATATATATATATATATATATATATATATATATATATATATATATATATACATATATATATTTGTACCTAATAATAAATATTATTTTTATAAAATATATTTTTTCAAATATAAAATTAAAAACTTTTTTTTTTTATGTTAAGCGACAAATAAATAAAAAATTGTATAACATTTACATTTAACATTCAAGATAAAGTCTTAAAAATAGTTTGTTTGTTTTTTAATCAAATAAAAAAAAAAATATTTTTTAAAATGGCTGCCAGTTTACTGAAAATTAGTTAAAAAGTCACATCGAAACATCAGAGATAAACTCATACTTATCTTTTACTTCATTTATAAAAAAATTCCACAAATGGTCCTTAGTGTGTTAGGTCCATATTTAGTTAGAGATTTTAAAGTTAATTCATTATTTAAGGTTTTAAGACTTTTTGAAAATCAAAAATGTCAATTTTTACAAGAAAAAATAAGATATCTCAAGATATATTCATTAACTTTCAAAATCTCTAGCTAAAAAGAAAGATATTAATGTAAGTATCAATTTCAAATGTAAAACTGTGTGTATAGAAGAGTTAACATAGTGGTTTATCGAGCATCTTTTTGTAGACTTATTTATTATGATTAAAATAATACGAAGATTGTGTAAAAATACATATATTCTTTTATGAACAAAAAATACAACTCCTATTTCAACATATTAACACATAAAAACATTCAACTTCAGACCAATTAAGCCATGATCCTTGGTTACTTAACTGCATATTTTAGTTTAGACTGAACCAAACGTAAAAATATTCCAGTCTACACGACATTTAGTTTTAATAGACGCGCGAACAATTCGCGCTGAAAGATTTTTGGACAAAAATTAACGCCGTGTTAATAAGTGGTATCAGCATGATAAAAAACAGCATAAATGCAAAATAAATCAGTTCGTTAGCCGAGCACTAAGTATGTCCATTTTTCGTACTTCCGAGATAATCAAGTTTTAAAATTCAATTTGCTAAGGCTCACTGCCAGAATGTTCGACTAATTTTTTAAATATTTTAAAGTTGTATCATTCTTGAAACATGATTTATTAGGCACATACTCAATTGGGTGTTGAATATTTATTGGTCATAATCAGAAAAAGCACAAAATGTGGACATAGGGACTCTTGATTCTCGGCTGACTAGTTCTTGATCATCATTACCGGACTAAGTGAAAGAAATTATTTTATACTCTATGTATTCAAGATATGTATGTATAGACTCTTCATAACTTCTTCAAAAATAGATTACCCTTCTAGTTTCGATAAGAACCACTTAACAGGTATTATACCTCAAACTCTCTACTAGCGTTTATCCTTTTTATATATATATATATTTATAAGCAATTCTATTAAAAATACAGAAATATTCAAATGCCATTACGATTTGGGGGCCTAAAATTTAAATGAAATAGGAGTAGTTTACGTTTCCATAAAATATTAAAGGTATATCGCAGAATTAAAGATTAACTTGTATCCATTATAATTCTATAATACATCTTTTCTATATAATAAAATCATGCTATATAATAAAATATTAAATTTTATATTATAAAATTAATGACAAAAAAATTACAATAAGCTATTGCATAAATGTGTCGCTCTTTAAAGTAGTTTTTTTTGTTTAAAAAAAAATAAAATTGCTTTCTCATATGTAACACATTGCAAAACCATTTTACTGTCATTTTTCATTAAGAATAGTAAATATACTTGGATATATTTCAGCTAAGACGCCCTAACGGCTTATACCACAAAAAGGCTATACATATTAAGTATGCCGATATCAAATAAGGTATAAGCAGTTTAATGTCAATATATAATAAAGCACAATGACACAAACATAACAATTAGGGCAGTTTATACCTGTATAAGAATAGCCGTATATATGTGCTATAATTAAGATAATACATGCTATTTAAAGTATAAACGCCTACGTCTATAATAGACATAAACACTATAAATCCATAGGTATCACTATAAGTAAAATGAAAAATAAAATGGGTTATTGCAATAATACTTTGTATGTTACCTAATAATTTTTTATCATAATCAACAAGAGACATAACTTAAGCAATATCTACAATTGTGATGTAGTTCTAAATTATTAGCAGGTTCTATAAATGCTTTCCAATTATATCAATGACAATTATATATATATATATATATATATATATATATATATATATATATATATATATATATATATATATATATATATATATACATTATAATTATATGTTAATAAAATATGTCTCAAGTTTACGAAAAGAAATCATGCTCGATATCTTCATTTTCTTTTTAATGACATACCGTTTAATTCTTTTGCAAGAATACCAATCATTAAGCTAACATGGAGGCCACCACTATTTTGAAATGATACCTAATTTATAAAAAATTTTAAATTATGAATCAAATTTTAATTTCAACAAAATTTTTATAATTACAAATCAATTATCTGAAAAAAGAGAAGCAATAGTTAAATATAGTTTACCTATTATAAAATTTTGGCATGGATTTTCAGTACAATGCCATCAGTGGTATTACTTTATGGCAAATTATTTTAAGAATTGTATTTTCTAGGCATTTTGCAAAGCAAGGTTGTTGTGTGGAGTACGTGCATTATAATAAAATAAAATTTATATAAAGTAACATAATACTACATGTAATGTTTATGGTCAGTTAATGTTATTGACCTCCCAACATAAAAGTTTTACATTAAATCAAGTATAGTCTGCATAAATTAAATATTATCAACCTAAACTAAAATCATTTTTTTTTAATATTGTTTATTTGGATGTTACGCAAGTAATTATGACTGTTCGACATTAACAGTCCGTAATATTAAAAATTATATACCTGTGCTGTATAACAGTATTATTGTTTTATTATTATTTATTTGACTGGTTGTGGCAATCATTACAGTTCCAAATTTCATCTTCCTGCTCATAGGCACTTAGTGGAATTTTTTCGCATTCACAATAAAACCATCTACTACAAGCACAGCATTGTATCATTTGCCTTTAAAAAAATAAATACATTATACATTAAAATTTGTTACTACATTATACTACATTGCTTCTACATTATAAAAATTTGTTAAATTTAACATACCAAATAAGGTATTGCAGTTATAAATATTTTGTTGTTAACTCATTCATATGTGCCAACATACCTGTTATATATGTCTTCGTCTCCAGGCACCCAAAACATACGACAAGAGCAATGCAGAGGAACACGAAAAGTCTTAGCAGCACATCTTCTAAAGGAAAAAGGATTTTTAGTTGCTGGGAATATCTCTATCTGGTTATTTGATATACATTTTAGGAGATGACTTCTAATTTCACTTTCCTCAAACATTAGATTTGTTGATGGTAAACTTTTTGTTTCAAGAATCTGACGAGCCCAGGCAATAGCATAAATACCACAATCCACACCATTTGTTTGCTGTTGAACTGGCAAAACTTTAAAAACAAGATTTTTTTCTTGACAATGCAAAATATTGCAAATTTGCCTTTTTGTCTTTTTTGATTGTACCGTGGAAAAGGCTGTCAAAAACATATATCTCCCCTGGTTTACAGTCATATGTGGTTACACATAACCAGTGAAGATTTCCATCATGAAGAATTTGGACAAATGGAGTACTTGTATAGATATCAAAAGATAAAATTTGTCCTTTAATGGGATCTTGCTGTCCAACATCAATATTTATCTGGATTGCCAAAAGTTGCTGACAAAAGTGAATTACGTTATCATTAAGCATTTGTCCTTTTATGATATCATTTTGTTCTTTATGACCAATCAAAGATGATTTAAGACTTTGAATTTGCAGCACTATTTTATCTTGTTTAACATCTTCACTTACAGTCATATCAACAGAGTTGTTACTATCATCAGTTAAATGTTCCATGATATCAATTGATTCATTAGGAACCATAAAAATTTCATAGTTTTCATCAATTGAGTGACTTGTGACAATTTCAGAACTATAACTTTCCTTTTCAGCCATCACACTAATATCAGCAGCTGCTTTATATTTGTCATATTTAACACCAACACACTTAGTCATTTTTCTTTTACGCCGCACAGGGAGAAGACTAAGTTTTGGTGAACTTGTGTGTGACTTATTCCAAGTATCAGGTTGAATCTCTGGACGCAGCAGAATTCCTTGTTCTACTGGAAGACTTTCTGCTAAACGTGTTTTAAATTGACAAAGCCCTTCAAACAAATTATCAGTAGCTTGTTGAGAGTCACAAAGTAACTCATTTGTTTAATTTCATTTAAGAGCTCACGACAGCTTGCAGAGGTATGATTACTGTAGTTTATAGCAATCAAACCCTGATTACTATTTACATGCACATAATTAAAATTTTGAACTTCCTTGTCACTCTGTTTAATAAGAGAGGATATGTGTAGCGGTTCAACATGTTCTTATTGAATATTATATAATGAAACCTTATTGGAATGAGCTAAACTATTTTCATCTGAAAATAAATCCAGCTTGAAATAAGGAGAATTTGCATATGCAGTGCCAAATGCAAACCAAGAGAGATTCTCTTTTAGAAAAATGGCAAGAAAGTGTTTACATGGATATGAGGTACGAAACCAACTAGGACAAGAACAAGCTGGCAGACATTCAGAATCACCAAGGTAGCATTGGTAAATCTCTCTACTATTTGAATTAAAAGAAGCTACATTGTATAGTTTGTCTGTCACAGCAGTTATGCCCCGCAAATCCACACCTTGTAATTTATCAATCAATGCCATACAATGTTTGACTAATGATGGTGGACGATCAATCAAATATGCTGGAACTTTATCATCATATTTTCTATATGAGGAATGTGCTCTTCTATTTTCATCACAATAACTAAAACAAGATAAATAAAATTAAAGAAAAGTTCAAATTTAATCGATCGCAAAAAAATAAAACGATTATATTTAAAATTAGAGTTTTGGTATATACAAATCCAGTAATCATATTATTTAAAGATCACTCAGTATAATTTCTAATTTTAGGTTAACTCAAGTAAAGCAGGTTAATATTCAAAAAGTGTTACAGATTAAGTTAAATAATAAGTATAGTGAATAACAAAGAACAACTTTAGAACTCTTATTAGTAAAGGAATTTATGAGTAGCAAAATTGTGCTGCTGCAGCAGTTGTATAAACTAACTTGTCGTATTTGTGAGGAAGAAATTCTTCTATGCAAATACTAAGCATAGTTGTTAGAGAAGAATTCTTTCTTTTTTCTAAAAAAACTGTATTTGAAAGATAGGTTCTGTCTTTTAGTTCCATTGTTGGTGTTGACATCCAACAAGATACGATCTTTCCTATATGCAACAACCCAGCGCTAAAATCAGAAAGAAATGGATTATAAACACTTAGTAACATTTTAGTAACAAATTGTTATAAATAAAATAAAAATACAACAAAATGATTAAACCAATAGTCGCAATTAACCAATAGATACAATATTGTATAAATCGCTGTAAGAAAAAATATTTTTTTTGATTGTTGAAAATATTTATTTATAATCAACATTCTGTAACTACCTTTTGAATGCATAGCCAAGTGCTTTTCAAATATTCTACAAGTTTTGGGTTGTTTTGCCACTCTTTTGATTCCTCCAATGCCTCAACAGCTTTTTGGCAAGTCTCAATTGTTTTTGCATGTGCAATTTCACGAAGCTTATCTTTAACTACATCTTTCACCATGCAACATCCATTAGCAGTTTTAGACAGCCATCGTTCCCAAGCTTGTTCTCGATGAAAATCACAAATAACACTGTAGAACCTAAGTCAAACAAAAACATTTAAATTACATAGAAAAGAATGACTTGATATAAAATAAAATTAAAATCAATTTAAAATCAAGTATGACTTAAAATGAAAATAATGACAGTAAATAGTAAAAGTAAAAAATATAGAGAAAAAAACTTTATTGTAATTGAAATAAGTAAATTCATTGACAACCACGAAATAACAAAATACATTATTAACCTGAAAACACTGATTCAAGTGAATTTATTTCTTCATTAGAATAATCAGTAATAAAAAACTTTGGTTGAAATAAAGGATTCCATTCTTTGATGCACATAAGTGATTCTTTAATAGATTTGGTGGTTTCATGTTCACACACAAATATAGCAACAATTTGGTAATTTATGTTAGTTTTAACGACGAGGAAAAAAAGAGGTAGTGCATATCTGGTTGTTCGGTATGTAGCATCAAGAAAAGCAAGCTCATTCCCATATCTTAATAGTAATCTTCTTTGCCATATATCTTGATATACAAACAACAAAAAATAAGATCAAAAGAACAAAAAATAAGATCTTCTAAATTACCTCCCTTTGGTCTAAATTTTATCATTGTATCTTGAAAATTAATTTTCCAATCATTTATTTTTTCCTAAAGACATTCTTGATCTATCATGGACTTGCGAAGTTTTCGTCTAGCTATCAACATGTGATTTGCAATGGTCTTATCACTTGGAAAAAATTGTTTGTTTGTCTTCTGCAGCATGTTATTAGAATTAAATTCCATCTGAAGAAAGGTCTTTAGATGACGTCTCATTTCAGTAACAGAACTGACACCCGTTCTGACCAACTCACCAATTTTTAAAATAAGTTCTTCACATAAAGGTTGATTAAGACCTGCGGCCTAATAGTTAGATAAAGAGTGGAAAATAATTATAATAAATACAAACACGAAGACCAATAGTAAATGTAACTGCGCTACTTACATCACTAATTAGATGGTTACTATGAGCAGATATTGCAGGAATTACCAAAATATATTTTCTGCACATTAAAACTGTTTGTTTTAAAATCAAAGCTGAACGTAATTTTTTTGAAACTTCTTTCCTGATCCTGGTAGAATCTCGATCCAGCTATATATATATATATATATATATATATATATATATATATATATATATATATATATATATATATATATATATATATATATATATATATATATATATATATATATATATATATATATATATATATATATATATACAAAATTAAATTGTTATGAATATAATAAATATTGACATGCATCAAAAGTTAAGTATTGATGTAAAAATAAGAGTACAATACCTTAAACTCAGGAAATTCAATAATTTCTTTGATAAAAAATTTTGGCGGGACAATCAAATTTCTTGGTAAATTGTGGAATCATTCTTTTTATTTTGAAAGAATGATCTGAACTCTGTACAAGAATAAAGTAATTTTAAAACATGAGAAAATCATTCTTATAATATAAAACAGTAGATAACCTATTTAGAACAAAAATTTGTTTATTAATAAAGAGAAGCAAAAATAAAAAAGAGATAAATAAACTTAAAAGGTTTTTTGTACTACTTACTGCTTCTGTATTTTTTTTAATTTTGTACAGAGCTTTAGCTTTACTATTTTTATCCTTGCCATGATGTCAGTCAAGTGTACCATTTGATGAAACAATGAATGGTACTCCAGTGTAAGAAACGTCTTTATCCTCAAAAAATAATCTGCGATTTTCCTTTAATATTTCTAAAAAACATATTTTTATAGACATGCTTTCTGTTACGATAGGGGTAATGATTAATTGATTATAAGAGGATTGCTTTATAATAGCTTCAGACAATAATATTTTAAAGAATGTAGCAATTAAATTTTGGGTAGTAAATTAAGTATATAGCAAATTTATGAATTAGTTTTAAAGTTGTTGTTTTTTTTTTACAAAAAAAATGGTCAGTTTATTTATTAGAGTTTATTTATTACATTTTGATTAGTTTTTTAGATTGTTTAGAAATACAAATTTAGTTTACGTGCTGTAGGCCAAGAGTTTGTTTAAAACGGCAAATTGTTTAACAAAATGAGTAGACAGTTTATATCCGGTTGCTTAACTTCTACGAGAAATAAGCATTTAATTCTCAAGTAGTAAGGGTGGTGTTTTTTGAAATTTAATTGATGGAGGTAAAACAATAGTTAAAAGTACTAAAAATATTTTTCTAGTATTTTTAACGTTTTTTCTTATATATAAACATTGTTTCCGTGCAATGGCGATTGTCTTATTGACGTATTTTCATAATTTACTCATTATCAGATTTTTCTGTCTAATTATCATCAAGCTAGTTTTTTTATAACTGATAATCCTCGTACAAACGTTTCTATTGCTAATTTAGCACAACTTTTATTTTTATTATGACAATTATTTAAAAGTCCTGAATACTCTTGTCAAGTTTTACACCATATTAAAATTACTTCATTAGAATCATCAGTTTAAAATCCGCAGGATTCAAACTGATGATTCAGGCAAAACAGGCATTTAAAAAGTAATATTTTTTAACCTTGCTATGCTTGAATTGATTTAAAAAAAAAAAATTGAAAAAAAATGAATAAATATTGGTTTTAATAAAAAAATTATAAAATAATATTTAACCAATATTATTTTATAATTTAATATTTAAAATATTTTAATTTGTATCCCGACACTTTAGAACATTCAGGTTGGCAGTTGTATGCCGTCCTAAAGCAAAGATAGGTCGGCTTTTGCGTCGGCATTGCCAAATGCCAACCTGAATTTTGCTGACTGTCATGAGACCATGTAAAATTGATTATCTACCAAGCTGCTATGCTAAATTGACTTTCTAACTCATGGGATTCATATTCCATGTTACTTAAATTGTGTAAAGGTGAGTTTCCACTCATCCGTTTTTTCACGGGAACGGGATAGGAAAGGGAAAAATAATCACGTGAGCATGCGTAGTTTTTCTTCGGGCATATTAAAATTTATACTACGCATGCCCACGTGATTATTTTTCCCGTCCCCGTAAAAAAACGGATGAGTGGAAACTCGCCTTAACTATCAAGTTACACATTTTGCATAACTTTTTTATTATTTCTTTTTTATACTATTAACACATAAAATATCTTGAAGTTTTGCAAAAATTAAAAGCATAACAAAAACCTTCAAAGTTTTTTTCCATACTTCTTGTAAAACCTACAACATAACCAACAGTGTGCAATAACTTGTGTTCTTTTATTTTGGCACAAACATCAGCATATGTCGCTAAAATGTGCTTTGTTTCCATAGCGTAAGTTGGATTTGAAACTGGAGTTGATGTATCGAAGTTTGCATCTAAAATGATATAAAATCTTTCAAATGACAATGAAAAATTTAGGCAACAGTACTAACATTTTTCTCAACTTTTTATTTATTTTGCAGATAAACATAATACAATCATTTATATATATAAAGTTTTCATGTTTTTAATAT